GTAATAGCTCACCCTAATAACTCCTTAAACTCTGTGTGTGTGTGTGTGTGTGTGTGTGTGTATATATATATATATATTTTTTTTTTTTTTTTTTTTGAGACAGAGTCTCGCTCTGTCACCTAGGGTGGAGGGCAGTGGCGTGATCTCGGCTCACGGCAAGCTCCGCCTCCTGGGTTCACGCCATTCTCCTGCCTCAGCCTCCCGAGTGGTGGCTGGGACTACAGGCGCCCGTCACCACGCCTGGTTAATTGTTTTTGTATTTTTAGTGGAGACTGGGTTTAACTGTGTTAGCCAGGATGGTCTCAATCTCCTGAGCTCGTGCTCCACGCGCCTTGGCCTCCCAAAGTGCTGGGATTACAGGTATGAGCCACTGTGCCCAACCAACTGTACTTATATTTTTATGGAAGCTTTATTGAGACAATTCACACATCGTAAAATCCATCCCTTTAGTGTGTACAGTTGAATGTTTTTAGAACATTCGGAATTGCACAGTCATCACCACTATTTAATTCCAGATTTTTAATTTAAAAATTTTCATTTCATTCATTTCATGTTTCTTCATGTTATAGCATGTGTCAGCATGTCACTCTTCTTTATGGCTAATGCTCCACTGCGTCAAGAGACACATTTTATTCATCTGTCCCTCTGTGGGCATCTGGGCTCTTTCCACATTTTGGCTATATTAAATTGTCCTGCTACGAACACCGGTGTTGTTTCGGTGTGAATGTACGTAGCTATGTGCTGGGGTGACGAGACCCAACACGGGTCGTGGGGGTGACGAAGTCCGGCGGACTCAAAGGATTGAGCAAAACTTTGAGACAGAAAAAGGCGGGACACCAGGGGACCATCGCTATCACGGAGGCGGTGACGGCCCGCGCTGTGGGAGCCCACGGTATTTTCTGGTAATCCAACAAAGAAACAGGTGGTGAGAACGTGGAGATCAAAAGAGCACGCTGCATTAAGCACATGACTTACAGCTGAGACGGTTTAGCATTTATATGGAGCAGGTTCTGCTACTTGAGATAACGGGAACAGGAGCCTAGGAGGGCTAGAAGCAAGGAGCCAGCAAGTCTAGACACATTCCAGAGGGCTTTATGCAAGCCTTGCCTCAGTTTCCCTCCCAACACCTGTCTGTCTTACTTGTTGGTATATATGTTGTATTTTCACCACTAAAATGCATAAGAAAAAGGACACGGATGGCTTACGTGTGCCGGTGTGTAGCATTCTCTAAGCTCTGACATCACAGAGCTGAACAGCACAGCTGTGCACACACGGCCCTGGCTGTGAGGTGGCACGTCCACACATGAGGAAAAAACACTGCCGGGACATCTCAGGGCACTCTCAGGAAATGAGGAACCTGCTGAAGAAGTTTCTAGCCTTGGGGGAGGTCAAGACGCCATCTCCTGGAGCAAAGTTCCCTCCTCCTCTCTCCCTCCTCCAGCCCTTCCTTCCGACCCCTGGCCCTTTCTCTCCAACCTTCCCCTCCCCTCCTCCATTTCCCTCCTCTTTCTACTTTCAGAGAACACAGGGTTCCTGCAGGAAATGGGGCAGTTTCACCTTCCTGAGGAGGGGCCTGGGAGGGGCAGCAGGTGGCCGAGTAGGGCCAGCCCAGCTGTGAGGCTGGCGTGGGAGCTGCCTAGGCTGGGGCCTTGCCGGGGAGCAAGCCTGCATCGCAGAGGCCAGGGTGAGTGGACTGGGGAGTTGGTGGGCCAGGGTACTGGGGTGCCCACCTGGGGTGGTACAGGCCCGGGGACCCCAGGACACCACTCAGGGTGGAAGCTGGGATCAGGTGTTTGGGGCAGGGGACGCGGCGGCTTCCCGGGATTCTAGGAGGCTGGGACCAGGTGTGCGGGGCAGGGGACGCGGCGGCTCTCTGGGATTCTAGGAGGTGAGAGAGCTGCTCTCAGACCCGCCGCTGTCCTCTCACTGGCCCTCCCCGTGGTCCCTAGGATGAGGTCTGGACCCGCCGGGCCCTCCAGAGGCCCCACACCCCCGCTTGTCCACTGTGCCGGCTGTTCCTTTCTTGCGGACCCCGGTGCAGTCCTAGGCACCCTTGGGACTCAGCTCAGTGCCCCTTCCTCCAGGGAGCTCCCAGAGGCTGTGTGAGGAGCGCCCAGGCCCCGGACTTATTCTCTGTTTTGGAATTCTGTGCGCAGTCATCTGCCCTCCTGCCCAGCTGAGAGCAGGGCCCCGTTGTCCGGACCCACATTTTTCTTCCAGGTGGAAAGAATTTGCTGAATGAAAATCAAAGCTGTGGCCGGGCACGGTGGCTCATGCCTGTAATCCCAGCACTTTGGGAGGCCGAGACGGGCGGATCACAAGGTCAACAGATCGAGACCATCCTGGTTAACATGGTGAAACCCCGTCTCTACTAAAAAATACAAAAAACTAGCTGGGCGAGGTGGCGAGCGCCTGTAGTCCCAGCTACTTGGGAGGCTGAGGCAGGAGAATGGCGGGAACTCGGGAGGCGGAGGTTGCAGTGAGCTAAGATCGCACCACTGCACTCCAGCCTGGGGGAAAGAGCGAGACTCTGTAACCGAAAAAAAAAGAAAAAGAAAAAAAAAAAAAATCTGCGCCCTGGTTGGGGTTGGGGGAGCTTCAGGGTTATCACAGGACATTCTAGAGAGAAAGCCTCGGGCACGGGGGACGTTGGAGTCTGGAGTTGTGGCGGGAGTAGTGAAGGGCGGACCCTGCTTCGGCCAATGGCTCTCATACAGCAAAGCCATTTTCATGGTGAGGGTCAAGTAGCCCGTACATCTCTTGGTGAATTCCTGCTGATTGGCGTCTGACCCCATGGAGCCTCTCAGTGGGTGTCATAGGGCCTCCAAATGTGTACATGTCTCTAAAATGCCTCCCGCTGGGCCTCAGCTTCGACTGACGAATCCCCAGGCGGAGGCCAGCAGCAGACGGGGAGGGTCCCTCAGTCCCTGCGAGCAGCTTCACGGGGAGGGACGTCGCTGCGGTGGACGGACACTGAGCCCCAAAGCAGCCTCTCAGAGCTGCCCCGAGGGGTGGCTTCAGAGGTGGGGCTGAGGCTCCCAGCTCCCACTGGGGACAGAGCGGGCAGGCGGGCCTGGCAGGGCAGTGGTGCCTGTCTACACGCAGCCCTGGAGTCTCTGGACCTGTGTCCAGTGTGTGCATCCCGGCTCCGTCTCCCATGAGCCAGGCGGGCTGGGCCTGGCTTCTCTGCCTCAGTTTCCAAGACTAGGGGACAGGTAGCAGCTGCCTTGCTCTCAGGGGTGGCAGGGTGTGAGTTAAAGGGCAGGACAGCCATGGAGGCAGTGGTGACTCCGAGCACCTGCTCCGCCTTCCCAGGTCCTCGGAGCCCGCTCTGAGGGATGAGCAGCTGGTTCTTGGGTGAAGGGAGCCCCTAGGACCCCGCCTTGCAGGACCCCGCCAGGCCCCAGCGAACCGGTCCCACGGAGGCTCGTTGGGATTTGGCCACCAGAGGGCAGCAGCTGCAGCAGCCAGGCAGGCGGTCAACACGGGGGCCACCCGCTGTCCTGGCCAGCCATGGGGTGTGAATGGGAGAGGAGGGGGACCAAGCCCGAGGCCCACCTTGGCCCCTGAGTGTCCACCCATTTCACAGATACTGAGGCCCAAAGGCGTAGGGCTCAGACATCCCCCACGTGTCCTGTCCCCAGGCAGGAGAATCGCTTGAACCTGGTGGGCAGAGGTTTCAGTGAGCTGAGATCACACCACTGCACTCCAGCCTGGGTGACAGAGCAAGACTTATCTCAAAAAACAAAACAAAACAAAAAAACTGAATTTAAAATGCTCCCTAACATCCAGCTGGGGTGTGCAGCAGGAGGCTGGGTCCACGGGGCTTCGGGGGCTGGGCTGGGGGTTCAGGTGGGTGAGGAGTCAGTGCTGTGGGGATGGGGCTCAGAGCCTGGAGACAGGCAAGCCAGGAGAGGCTGGGACCTGTGCCCTGGAAGGACGGAGGCAGCGGGTCCAGGGGTCACCCACTGAGAGGCTGACTGAGCACAGTTTCAGGGAGCAGTATGGCCCAGCCTCCTGTGAGAGGATCAGAGAGAGACGGGCGGAGAGGAGGGGAGACAGCGGCTGTGCTGGGAGCTGTGCCACGAGGGGTCGTTGGATGGAGGAGGGGGTCGCCATGAGGCATCCGCACCCCCGGGACAGTGAAGACCCAGCGTGCGCAGCTGACCTCGAGGACAGGGCAACTGCTCCACCAGAATGTTCCCAGAGGGCGCGGATGCTTCTAGTCCCAGCACTGGGAGCTGCAGCAGGATTCCCAGGTGGTTTAAAGAGGTTCCTTGAGGTTTGTGATCCTGAATTCAAAGTAGCACCCATCGGGACAGCTGGGCCTTCCCTCAGCACACTCAGTGAAGGGCAGTGCAAACGCAAAGCTGGCAAGAAGTGGGCAGGAAGCGGGCAGGAAGCGGCCAGGTTTTACCGAGAGGCCTGACGGCTCCAGAGGAGATGATGGAGTCTGGCAGGGAATGGGGCAGGCGGCTGGAGGTCCCGGGCGGGCCCTGGAGCAGAAGGGGAAAGGAGGGGTGGGCTGTTGGGACTGCAGTGAAGGTCAGGCCCCGCCCGAGCAAGGTGGGAGTAGCACAGGTCATTGCAGGTCAGGGAATTGCTTGGCCAGGGCTGGGGACAATTCTTTCTTACTGAAATTGCCAGGAGTTGAGACGGGGTGGAGCTAGAACAAGGGAGAGGGGGCAGCAGAGAGGTGGGGTGCTTAGGGCTCACACGTGAAGCCCCAGGGGCACGGCATGGAGACTTGTGGCTGAGGTAGGAGAGGGAGGCGGGCACCAAGGCCCGGGGGCCCTGAGAGGTAGGGGGAAACTGCTCGTACCTCACGAGGCCACGGGAGCTCCCTCAGCACGGTCCCTGTGTAGAGGAACTGCTCAGGTAACGTGAGCTCTGAGGCTTGTGCACGTGTTGCACAGAATGAGGTGGAAACATCCATGCCAGGAGGTCTCCAGGCCATCTGGTCAACAGAAACCAACAGCATGCAAAGGCCAGGAGCCCATGCCCGTGCCCGTCTGTGCCTGGAAACGCTGGAAGGCGGCCGGGCGCCGTGGCTGACGCCTGTAATCCCAGCGCTTTGGGAGGCTGAGGCGGGCAGATCACTTGAGGTCAGGAGTTTGAGACCAGCCTGGCCAATATGGTGAAACCCTGTCTCTACAAAAAATACAAAAATTAGCTGGGTGTGGTGATGCGCGTCTGTAATCCCAGCTACTCGGGAGGCTGACGCACAAGAATCACTTGAACC